ATTTGTTAAAACTGTCATTATGTCCTGACAGTAGAATATGAGACAGATAATCTGTGAAAAAATCAAGCTCCTCTGGCTCCTCCCAGTGGTCCTATTGCCATTTGCAGAAATACGCCGCTCCCTGTCAGAATCAACCAATCAGAGCCAGGAGGAATGTCTTAGCTGTGTCAATCACGCTCGTGTACGCGCTGATCACACCCCTCTCTTGCACAGCGCGTACCAGTCGTTCAAACTCAAGATTGCCGGTGTGCCGCAGCTGTGCTAATGGTGGAGAAACAACCTAAACTGCCAATTTCTCGAGTGACACCTGCTCATAAAACAAAGACGGGTAAAAGGAAAAAAACGATGACGATAAACAAGCGAAAAAGAAAGAATTAGACAGAGCCCATTGACTCGGTGTCAAAACTCTAGCCGCGTAACATGTAGATAAAATTCCACACACTGTGCAAACAACAATTGAAACCTGCTAATTCACTGGCTTGTCATGTTGCTGAAATAATGTTGTGGCGAGCAGGACGAGGGCGAGGGACGTGAGAGTGGTGCGAGGCCGGTGGCGTGAGTGATAATGAACGACACCTGTGAGACGCACCGGTCTCGCATCTCTCACGGAGGAGCGGAAGCATAAAAGGAGGAGCGACAACAGTGCAGATCGAGAGAGGAACAGGCCTGATTCTGTTTTGTGTGCCAGCAGTCGTCCGTGAGGGGCTGCTGGCTTATACTTTCATTTTGTATTTGTTTATTTATTATTAAACTTGTTGAACGTTCGCTGGTTCCCGCCTCCTTCTTCCCATAACAACTGAACCCCGTTACAAATGTACTAGCAAACCTTATCTAGCATTAGGCCTACATATCGCTAGAATAATTACTTGAATTATATTATATATGTTACGTTAGTTACCATTATATTATCTTACTAACTATTTATAACTTATAGAAAGGGTGCAACGTTATAAAGTTACATTACAAGCAGGGTTCTAAATTAACACCCGCCAACCCGCCAAATGAGGGTTAAAATTCATTTTGGCGGGTGTTAATAAAAACTTACTAGCCAGTTTGGCCGGTGATGCATAAGGCTCTGTTCTCGGTCATTTATCCCCCTGGCAGTACTTCCTACATGTCCCATGAACACTGTGCCGTAATGCTACGTGATGACGTTTCATACGCCCATTGGCTGCGCAGTTTGCAGTGAAACCAGCGCAAGAATTGATCATGGAAATTGGAAACGAACGGAGCGTAGCCTACGCGTCCGTCCACCAGAAAAAACAAGGAAGATGAAGAACGAGCCAGAGCAGGGAGCATAGACTGAAAGAGGAGGGAGCTAGTAAAGTAAAAAGTTAAGATTAAACTAAATGCGGCGGTGGTTGGGACAGACTGCTGGGTTTAAATTTAAATGTCGTTTAACGAGAGATAGGCTACGTTATTTTTTTAAGTTTAAGGTTTTTGTCATTATTTCTGAACAAGCGTATACATTAGGCAATTACACAACAAGCTTACTATATATCTTAAGGTTTTCTTTTAGTTGAAAACATTAAACAATATGTGTAAACAAAAAAATATGAACAACAAAAGCATTTAAGCTCAAGCTGCGCAAACGGGGAAAAAACGCAACAAAAAAAGAAAAAAAAAGAAAAGCAGACTGTGCAGTTATCGTACAGAACGTACATACTCGAGTCAGCATATGATTAACGTGTTTATATTGTTTCACGTTCATGTTGAGAAAAACAATAATATCCACATGCTCGAGTGAGAAAACGCGCTGCGCTGACACAGACGTTGCAGAGACACGTGAGTGTGTGCAAAGTGAAGTAACAGCATGCGTTTTTCTGTTCTTAAACCTGTCTCCCTCAACGAAACTTAAAGGAAGCATATGTCTCAAAATCATTTTGCTACCAAAAGATATCATCTCGGATCACGATTCCCTCGGGGTACAGCTGCTGACCTGCAGTCGTTAATGCAGTGATGGACAGCTGCTTCCTCCTCAGTCGACTGGTGTTTCTTTGGATTTCATGTGATTTCTAATTGTGGTGGTGATATTATGATAACTCAGTTTAATTAATAATTGATTAAACGTAATTCCATTTTGTAATAGGCTATCATTTTCATCTAAGTAATTCCAAACTTCGCGAGGCAGACAACAACATTATGTGATCAAATACAATCCAAACGCACCCAGTGCATTTAATTATAACTGCGAATAGTAGTTTCCATTCGAAAAACCATTCGAATAGTATTTTATTTTTTGAATAATAATTACAGATCGAAAATTCGAATATTCGTGCACATCCCTAATAGATAGATCCCAAGCTTGAAATGAAATGTTTGCACTTTCTGTGTTGTAGGCCTATTGTAGGCTACTTTATGTGTTTTTTCATGCCAATGTTAATAAAATGATCTAATGCATTCAGTGGCACTCATAATTTCTCTTATTTTCACCGGGAAAAATTTGGCTAGTGGAAATTCTAAATGGCTGGTAACTTTAGAAAGTTACCAGCCACATTGGCTGGTGATCAAAAAAGTTAATTTAGAACCCTGATTACAAGTATTACAAAATACGTAATGATTTGAGGACCAAGTTTGTAGTCAAAGTATGGGCAGGCCATAGTCAATGTAAAGCATATTGTTGATGTTTCGTCCCTACTAGTGAATGTGCCATAACTGTTTATCCGCCGTCATCAGTGGCCCTGTTTACTAGCCTGCGCGTTCACGGCAGGCTCTACTGTGGGGGAGGAGCTGTGGAGGAGGAGCTGTGGGGGAGGAGATGTGGAGGAGGACTGTGGAGGAGGAGCTGTGGAGGAGGACTGTGGAGGGAGGAGGTGTGGAGGGAGGAGCTGTGGGGGAGGAGATGTGGAGGGAGGAGCTGTGGAGGGAGGAGCTGTGGAGGAGGAGATGTGGAGGGACGAGCTGTGGGGGAGGAGCTGTGGAGGAGGACTGTGGAGGAGGAGCTGTGGAGGGAGGAGCTGTGGAGGAGGAGCTGTGGAGGGAGGAGCTGTGGGGGAGGAGCTGTGGGGGAGGATCTGTGGAGGAGGAGCTGTGAAGGGAGGAGATGTGGAGGGAGGAGCTGTGGAGGAGGAGCTGTGGAGGGAGGAGCTGTGGAGGAGGGGAGGGAGGAGCTGTGGAGGAGGAGCTGTGAAGGGAGGAGCTGTGGAGGAGGAGATGTGGAGGGAGGAGCTGTGGAGGAGGAGATGTGGAGGGAGGAGCTGTGAAGGTGGAGCTGTGGAGGGAGTAGCTGTGGATGGAAGAGCTGTGAGCTGTGGAGGGAGGAGCTGTGGGGGAGGAGCTGTGGAGGAGGACTGTGGAGGGAGGAGCTGTGGAGGAGGAGCTGTGGGGGAGGAGCTGTGGGGGAGGAGCTGTGAGCTGTGGAGGGAGGAGCTGTGGGGGAGGAGCTGTGGAGGAGGACTGTGGAGGGAGGAGCTGTGGAGGAGGAGCTGTGGGGGAGGAGCTGTGGAGGAGAAGCTGTGGAGGAGGACTGTGGAGGGAGGAGCTGTGGAGGAGGAGCTGTGGAAGAGTAGCTGTGGAGGAGGAGCTTTGGAGGGAGGAGCTGTGGAGGAGGAGCTGTGAAGGGAGGAGATGTGGAGGGAGGAGCTGTGGAGGGAGGAGCTGTGGAGGAGGAGCTGTGAAGGGAGGAGCTGTGGAGGGCGGAGCTGTGGAGGAGATGTGGAGGGAGGAGCTGTGGAGGAGGAGCTGTGGAGGGAGGAGCTGTGGAGGGAAGAGCTGTGAGCTGTGGAGGAGGAGATGTGGAGAGAGGAGCTGTGGAGGAGGAGGTGTGGAGGGAGGAGCTGTGGAGGGAGGAGCTGTGGAGGGAGGAGCTGTAGAGGGAGGAGCTGTGGAGGAGGAGCTGTGGAGGGAAGAGCTGTGGAGGGAGGAGCTGTGGAGGAGGAGCTGTGGAAGGAGGAGCTGTGGGGGAGGAGCTGTGGAGGAGGAGCTGTGGAGGGAGGAGCTGTGGAGGAGGAGCTGTGGAGGGAGGAGCTGTGGAGGGAAGAGCTGTGAGCTGTGGAGGGAGGAGCTGTGGGGGAGGAGCTGTGGAGGAGGAGCTGTGGAGGGAGGAGTTGTGGAGGGAGGAGCTGTGGAGGAGGAGCTGTGGAGGGAGGAGCTGTGGAGGGAAGAGCTGTGAGCTGTGGAGGGAGGAGCTGTGGAGGGAAGAGCTGTGGAGGAGGAGCTGTGGAGGGAAGAGCTGTGAGCTGTGGAGGGAGGAGCTGTGGAGGGAAGAGCTGTGAGCTGTGGAGGGAGGAGCTGTGGAGGAGGAGCTGTGGGGGAGGAGCTGTGGAGGGAGGAGCTGTGAGCTGTGGAGGGAGGAGCTGTGGAGGAGGAGCTGTAGCGCAGCAGAGAGCAAGGGGGTGGGACCTGTAAGTTGTGCTTGTTCAAATTTTCAGGCTAAGTCAATGTTTTCTCAAAACTCCCTACTGCAGCTTTGAAAAGAAATCACCTTAACCAATTTAATTTATGTTTTCCCCTCAGACAGTCAAAATCAATTGTTTTAAACCCACCATCAGTGTAATCCTTTACAGCCATGACCCTTTGGTGATATGCACTTTAATCAAATAAGATTTTGATTTTATTTATTGCCCTTATATTCTGTGGAGAAACTGAGATGGAATAAAATAAAAATAAGGATTCAGTTTTAGTTCATAAATTAAAATAGATCTAGATCTCTGCAACCACAAATTTAATTTTTAACTACAAATTCTTAATGGGTTTTAAATATTCAAGTTCTTTCCAATCATTTGTAATATGAATACTTGACTTTATTCATGATTGAGAATATCACACATGCTTTGTAGTTGGTATTATAATTGCAATCAATTTCACACTTTCTTCCATTTAGATATAAACCAGAAACTTTTGAAAAAAATCTCGGTGGTATTAATAGCATTGGGAATCTGTTGGGAATTTATCCTTTGAATCAATCCTTTATCTTTTCATTTGAATGTGTTTTCTTTATGTGTCTATCGTATCTTGTGAACGGGACTTTTATTTTGGTGTGGCGACATGATGTCATAAGACTGCGCCGCGCTCCTGCATCTGTGATTCGGCTGAAGAAAGGTTTGTGTTTTGAATAATTTAAAGTGTATAAAACGATACAGTCCCTTTGTACAACTTTATATGGAACTTAGAAATGAAATACGTATTTTGAATGTAACCTTATAATGTATCTAATATGAATTAACATATTTTATGCATCCACAAATTAGTAACTAAAAGGTGCGTCTCATTTCGCTCCGTATGTTGTGAAGCAGTTAATCGTAAACACGCTGTTTGGTCACTTACAATTAGCAAGTAATGATAGAGAAACCGAGCTTTTCGAAACAAATTCAGATTCAATTGAATCAAACGATTCTCAAAAGGACACATGCAGTACAACAGTGAAAATGCAACAAGAAAAAAAACACAAACATGTGTAATACCTTCTACAAATCAACTGCCAATGTTTTCATGAAAGTTTAGTCTATTAAATATAAACTACAAATCAAATATTGAATGTAAACCATAAATGTCATATGTCTGTATAATCTGTGTTCCTTTATTCATTTGTATTGCTAGTTTAGAGTTTTTTGGCTAATCATTGAACTCTCACTCTGACTGACTCACTAGTGTGCTGAACTACTGAACTAGAGCTGATTGAGACGCACAGATATTTAGTTTGGATTTATTTTTCTGTCTGTTAATTATTCTCATCTTAAACAGGACGATATGTCTAAACACTCAACTCAAACTCCTGAAGCAGCTGAGATCTATGGAACACATTATTTTAAAGATGACGTTTATTAAAGAGGAGAGTGAAGAAATCAAGATTGAAGAAACATTCAGAGTGAAACAAGATACTGAGGAACAAGCAAATATGGCGTTTATTAAAGAGGAGAGTGAAGAAATCAAGATTGAAGAAGTGTTCAGTTTGAAACAAGAAGATACCGAGGAACAAGCAAATATGGCGTTTATTAAAGAGGAGAGTGAAGACATGAGGATGGAAGAAACATTCAGAGTGAAACAAGAAGATACAGGTTGGTTTTATTCTCAAAGTCTTTCTTCAGTCATTCTGCCTCATGCTTCTCTTTATCTATATTTACTTAATGTAACTCATGACAAAATGAATGACATGTCACCGATTAACCATTTGAGCGGTACGGTGAGCCAGAGACAAACACGCTTTTCATAGATCACAACTATACACAGTGTTTTCAGTCACATAATCTATGTTTTAGGTTTCAGACATTTAAATACACAAGCACTAGCAAAACAGTACATTTCAGGGCTCGACATTAAGCCTTTTCATGTGCTTGTCCTTTGGACAAATAAATCTGTCATTCACTTGTCAGAGTAAAAAAAGTTGCAAAAAAAATTTCAAACGACTGATTCATTTGAGAATGAGACAGATGTTTATGAATGGATCATTGAATCTTTAACTCAACGTATTCGTTGAAAATGCTGAATCATTCAGTAATGAAAATACGGTTGCTGTGAGAAGCATTATGGTTCTTCTATGATCTTTGTTTGGAACAATTTTCGCTGCTGAAGCAGAACAAAAACAGTAATTGCGTCTAAAATGTAAGTGACTTAATTTTAATTTGTTATTTAACTGTTGTATGAAATCAATGTCACATTTTCAATTGTAATGGTATTCAGGAAAACCACACATGTCGTGTGCGGTTGCTTAATAGTTGATGACATGGTTAGCCGGTTTCTGAATAAATAAATAAATTCGTTTTTAGAAGTTGCTCATTAATAAACTTGATAGTCTTGAAGTTTGTTAAGATGGGGAGGTGTCCAACAATTGCATGTAAATGGTAAACAACAAAAACAACCAAGAAAACAGCTCTGATCTGGTCTTTTCGGTCATACTTCGATATGTTTACAAGACAGCAAACATTTAAAAAAAAAACGTGCACTCGGATTTGATTTGGGCATGTACCTGTCTGTATAGGCTACATAAACTAAAAGAAAGCTTATATATATATATACACCTCTGGAAAAAATTAAGAGACCACTGCAAAATTATCAGTTTCTCTGGTTTTACTATTTATAGGTATGTGCTTGGGTACAATTAACATTTTTGTTTTATTCTATAAACTTCTCGGGGTGCTTCAGCAAGTATTATAGAATAAAACAAAAATGGTAATTTTACCCAAACACATATCTATATATAGTAAAACCAGAGAAACTAATAATTTTGCAGTGGTCTCTTAATTTTTTCCAGAGCTGTATATTCTGACTAGTTTACTAGTTTTTTATTTTTATTTTAATAAAACACCATATACTTTCACTCAAACTGAATAATAAAAAACACGTTTAAAGGTGCCATAGAATGTGAAATTGAATTTATCTTGGCATAGTTAAATAACAAGAGTTCAGTACATGGACATGACATACAGTGAGTCTCAAACACCATTGTATTCTCCTTCTTACTTAAATCTCGTTTTTGAAAAACACCCCTGAAAAATAGGCGAATCTCCATATAACACCGACTGTGACGCAACAGTCGGGATCATTAATATGTACGACTCCAAGAATTTGCATATGCCAGCCCATGTTAAATGCCAGGCGGAACTGCGCAGCCGAAGCATAGCAGTTGCTCAGTGTTTGGATGTACACATGAACACAAAAGTATTTTTTATTTCCTTCATCCGAGCCTCTGAAGAAACAATGGGTTAATTTTATTTTCTCTGGAAATTTCCAAACATTTCACTGACGACTGTTTCCTCAACTTGGGCCAATACAGAGCTGGCCTTGGATCGAGCTACCAAGCAACACTCTCTGATGTGTAATTGTTCAAGTTCAGACAGGTAATCTTTCTCTCAAAATCGTTCAATACTGTTTATGCATCAGTAAGTCAAGCCAGTGACTAAAATATCAACTTCACATCGTTTCTTTTAGTAGGATGAAAAAAAAACGTATTTAAATTGTGAATAAATTATATAAAGAAAGCGATCAAAGAACAATCTTTCCACACAGCGCGAGTTTATCTGGACACTTGCCAAACTCGTTATGAATTCAATGACGCACGTTACACTGCACAACGAAGCTCTTACTGTATTTACATCATCGTGTTTGCATTGGTGAAAGCATTAGAGAGTGCAGAAACTGCTTTGCAATGATAAGATCTTCATGCTCGCGATCAACAGACTGTCATCTGCTTGCTCAATGCTCAGTCATCACGGCAACATTGTAGGCCTATGTGATGGGAATAGATCTAAATACTTTAAAAACATCTCACGATTCGTTAATCTCGATAGCTGTAATAGTAAAAACGTATAATAGCTGTAGTAAAATTATTCGAGAGAGTTTCACATGTAATGCGTAGATATTTCATATGCAAGCATGTCAGCCAATCACAGCAGAAGCCGGTTACACACATCAGACACGCCCCTTCAAACAGAGCGTTCAAATCAGAGGCTAAAATCAGGCTAGGAAAAATGCCTTTTATTTCTAAATTATGACTATTTTTGATCTAAAAAACATACTAACATTATAAGGGCAACCGAGGGAACATTATAAAATAATATAAAAAACCATTCTAGGGCACCTTTAAATGGGTATTTTCTATAAATATTTTTGAGTCTTCATTTTCTTTCCTGACATAGCCTATTCCAGTTCTTGTTAAAACACACTAGACATGCAAATTCTGTGCATTTTTGGGCGTTTTTTGCGGGAAATCATATTTATTTTGTCCATCAAAAATGTGCTTTCACTTTAATTGAGCGTGAGCAGCGCAGCAAAAATTGGCCTTGTCCACACGGACACGGGTATTTTTATAACCAGAGTTTTTGCGTTTAAAAAAAAAATCCTCTCCACATGCTCGGTTTAAAAAAATTCTTCGTCTACATGAAAACGCAAGAACACGCTATCAAGCGCTGTCAAGAGCATGCCACACCAGCAGGCGGCGATATATCCCTAACCGTAAAGCCACGTTGGCCAATCAGAAGTCTAACAAAAAGTTATTACCGGTTCTGGTAGGCGGATAACGGCGCAGCGCGGCCACTCTAACACTCTGACGTCGCAAGGCAAAAACCTTGGTTTTACTGTCAACACGACAACACTGTAACCGGCGTTTCTGAAAATCCTCACCCTGGCAGGGTTTTTAAAAAATGTTCGGTTTCAGTGTCCTGATAATGCGTTTCCGTGTGGACGAATGGCCGAACCGCATAAAAAAAGTCACGGTTATAAAAATACCCGTGTCCGTGTGGACAAGGCCATAGACTCTGCGCCGAAACCCCCGCTTCACTGCTGCTCACGCGACGCTCCTGCATGACACTCATGCGCTGCTCCTGCTCCCGGTGTGAATGCACTCCGTTGATTAACATGCACGGCGAAAAAAATACGCGCCACTCACCCTTGCGGTGTGAAATGGCCGTAACATTAAACCCAATGTATAACAATTACCATATGAAACTACCGACGCTTTACTACTGCATTCCTATTTTAAACATGATATTTGTGGTAAAAGCACGGTAAATCAGCTTAATCCTCTGGGGTCTGAGGTGATTTCTGTTACTTGTGACATTTTCATGGCTAAAGTCTGATTACACTGTATTCAGCACAAACTCTGCTACAATAATACGCGAGCAGCATGTATGTAAAAGTTTGTTGTTTAATTTTTTTTTTAGTTTATGTGTGCTTTGTGAAAAAGTCACTAAAACAAAGCCATAAAACCTATACTGATTATTTGTAGCCTTATTTGTATATTATCTTGTAGCCTAGACTTTTTGCTTCAAAACTATGTGAAAATCCTGCATACTCATTCACATAAAACAAAATATTGATTTAAAATTTGTAAGACCTGTTTTGTGTGAGAAAGCTCTATGTGAGGAGGCGTGAATCATCATGAATATTGATGTGTTTCACATCCTGAAAGACAAGACCCTCCCATAATGGGACTAGAAGAAAGAATGTGAGATTAAAAGAATGGCTTTTTTTCAGATTGTCTATTTTATTTTCAACACAATCCAAATGTATAACAAAGGACATTATTGGCACATTATTGAACACACTGATCTAAACAGAAGATACTTGAACAGGCACTTTTGTGCCATTCCTGAAACAGTTCAACATACCTGTCATTTCAAAGGTATTCGCTTTTTCATTTGCCAGTCAGTGATGGAACTTATTTGACCATGTTCATGTAGAATATCAGTCCAGTGTATCTTGCTGATGTTGGTACAGCGCTCTCAGAGAAAACTAAAGACTTGTGTGAAAGTTTGAGTCAGCAGGACTCATCAGTAGCATCTGGTCCCTGTAAAAAAACAACAAAACAACTGTGAACATTGATATCAGGCGAAACTAGGGCTGCATGATTTAGGGGATGAATCTAATTGCAATCTTTCTGGTTAATATTGCGATTTGGAATTTAACATTCCCCCAAAAAATTACACGTAAAAAGTACACGCCGTGTTCAGAGCCAGATAAGTCTCTGAAGTAGGTGCAGAAGGCTACTCAGACTTGGTCAATCTGCCTTTCTTTCTATGGCATATGGTTGTTACTGTCTTGCTGGACAAAAGCTGAACGTAGTAGTGTTCGGTAATGTCTCTTTCCTCACAAGCTGGCGACTCAGAATGTGGTCGAATCTGTTGCTGCCTCACAAGCTGTGGACCTAGATCATAGAATCTGTTGTTGTCTCAATATTTTTATTTATTGATATAGACTTCACTACAGCCTGACAATAATGTACTGTATATAAAGCATTTATATATAAAACATACTCATTGTTATCTGGAATGTTTTCAGTCTACATGGTAAGAAAGAAGAGAATAACACCTGAGCAGGATGCAAAAGAACACATATTGTCAGGCAAAGACAAAGCCTTCATCGAGGGACGGCAAATCAACACATTTAAAGGTAAGTTTGTTACCTTTAAATGTATCTGATCCCCCCCACCCCCAGATCAGATACCGCACTATAAAGAAAAAGTTCATCAGAAAATGAAAATTCTGTCAATCATTTACTTAACTTCAAGTTGTTCCAAACCTGTATACATTTCTTTGTTCTGCTGAACACAAAGGAAGATATTTTGAAGAATATTTGTTACTAAACAGTTGTGGGGCACCATTGACCTTCATAGTATTTTTTTCCTACTATGGAAGTCATTTTATTTTTCACTTACTGCACTTCATATTACATTACACAGTTTCAAGGATTTAACTCTTTAAAATGATAAGTTGGTTAGTTGTGTAACAAATAGGTGCAGTTGGGTTCATGTTTTATTTTTTGCCCTTTTAGGTGTGTTTGCACTTGAGCACATTGAACCATCCAACTTTGTTGTTGAATACCGTGGGATTCTCTCTCAAAGTAAACATGTTGAAGATGCTCAAGGCAACTACTTGTTTGACTTCACATGGAATGGAACACGTTATTGGTAAGCTGGCTGTTTTTTGGTTTATTTATTTTTAATTCATATTCAGATCAAAGTAGTTGTATGTGTTGCATGTCATTCTAATAAAAACTAAAATAATTAAGATTATTACAATTTGCTAGGGTTTTTATAACATTAGGAACTTATAAGTTAGTGATAATCAATAACATGTTTATTGTTCAACTGGGTTATTCCTAAGGGGGGTATTTTGTTTTTGTTTTTTGTTTTTTACCTTAAATGGATCATCTCATCTATTACATTTTTAGAAAGGGAAGTTAACTGTCACAATGTGTTTTTGAATATAGTTCAATTCCCCAGAAATATATAATGTTTAGTTAGAACCTTATGTTTCAGGTAGGAATGTTTTAAGTTTCTTACTGCATTATTTTTCTCACAGCATAGATGCAACAAAAGAGGACGGTTCACTTGGACGACTGGTGAATAATCACAGAAATTCAAATTGCAATGTCAAGACAATAATTGTTGATGGAAGGCCACACCTGTGCCTATTTAGTATAAGAGATATCTTTCCAGATGAGGAGGTCACATACAACTATGGGAATTCCTCTTGTCCCTGGCGTTTAAGGGTGAGTCTCTTAAAGGGGTCATATTATGCCCTTTTACGAAGTCTTGATTTTTTTGGGGGGTGTACTAGAATATGTTTTCATGCTTGATTGTTCAAAAAACACATTATTTTCCCAGCTCCTCTCTCCCCAGTCTGGCTCAAACACGCTGATTTCGATGAAGCCCCTCCTTCCGAAATACGAAATGTGCTGTGATTGGTTAGCTGGCTTATTGTGTTGTGATTGGCAGCGTTTAGCGCATGTTTGGAAAATGTTTCGCCCCTCCATAACTGCGAGTTCTTCTCAAGTGTAAATATTGAGAATGCCGTCAATGTCAAAACCAATTTGAGCCCGATTCAGACCATGACAATGTTAACGAACAAAAGGATTGTCTAGAACAGATTTCACGCACAGACTTTGCAAGCACTGATATTACAGGACGTTTCAGAGTGGTATGTTTTTTGTAATTTTCGTATACATTATAGATACGATGTTATCCACCATTTAATCGTAACATTTGTCGGAAAACTAAGGTAATACAAACAGTAATCGATCACAAAACCAAGGTTAATTTTCCTAAGGAGCTTTTTATCACTGAAAAGTCAACCATGTTGCACTGTGTTCTGCATTTCATGTAATTGTTTTTCTATTTTTTATGATGCAGATTATTGAAACATTTCTGCATGTCTGCTTTGTGCACGACATGGCCATGAAAGTGACAGTAGATATTTAGACTTTGGTTGATACTAGGATTAGTTGTGGTGGCCATCTGGCAAACATCCTTGCATCAGTGTTGTACCTGTCTTTCTCACAATTACAGGAATTGTGTGACAAGACATCAGTGGCTGTGACTGAATGCAGTGTGAATCCTTCCTCATCAGTTAAAGATAAAGTAAGTGAGCATATGTTCCTTAATTGGTTCTCTTTGACACTAGAAATGTTAAGTGTAGAATGGTTGGGCATAATACTAGGCTTTTCTTTACATGAACTGTTGTCTTAAAGACGTTGTGACGTCTCAACTTTGAGTAAAATATACCTCGCTCTGTTCATTCATTTTCATTACTTGTGACGCTGGTATTCTTTTACATCACCTTGTACACATTTTAGGGCTGTCAAAATGGCTGAAAAGCTAAATTCAAATTTATTTCCTAAATATTAGCAAAATTATATTAGAATTCTAAAGGCAATACTTAATGTTAAGAGGAAATAAGTACTGTATTGTCTCTCATCCCTACAAGAGCACAAGCGAGTGCAATATGCAAATATAAACCAAATCATGCATCACATCTTTTATTGAAATGAAATGACATTCACTTTTTAAAGTGCATACTTTTGAAACAATTGTTAAATAGTCAAATTTCTTTAATGTGCATGCTAGGGGTGACCCCGAATAGTCGAAGATTCGATGCTTCGATAGGAGGAGCCTGATTCGACTACCAATCTCACGGTCGAATCTTCGCAGATGTGTTATTAAACGAGGATTATGTCATATTGGCTATATGAGTGTGCTCAATGTCTGATTTCACATAGAACTACTGGTTTTCTGTCAATACGTTAATATACAGCCTATTATGATAATGCTGTCAATAAAAATGTGCAAAGAAAGAAGCTTTTAATAAATAATTTTTAACGTGCGTGCAGCGTGAATAAATCCAAACACCCCGTGACAGATTTAAGTTTCACTTTCGATCCGTGACCGACAGAGGAGCGTCTTGTCGGCAGGGATTTAAATCTTTAAAAATGTCTGGGATAAGAAAATCTAAAGATGCACACCATCAGAAAGGATATTCTCCAAGGCTGGATTTAGCATCAGGAAAACCATGATCGCACTTCTGCCGGCCAACGTTAACAGGTTGGTTTTCCTCGGGACGTTCTAAAACGCTTAACGTGAAAAAAGCTTTTAAAACGCTTAAATGGCACTTTTACGTGCTTAATGTATGTACACAGAATGGTTTCTTAAGGTGTGTAGCCTACTATGTGCAGATGATGAACCCAGAATATGAACGCAACGCGTTTCTCCTATAGAAATTCACGTGAAGCTTTTTCTTTAACGGTTTTCTATAGGAGGAAAATGCTTAACGTAGCCTATAATAAAACGCGTTGCGTTCATATTCTGGGCTCATCTGCTTTTCTGTAGGCTATATAGTAGCCTATGCTTTATTAATAAGGTGTGTACAGAATTTGATCTTTTAATATAACAGTTTTAGGACAAAGCCATTAAGCGTTTTAGAATGTATTTTATCCGCGCACACAATTTGATAAGACTCAAACGGACACAGGCCGAGTGAAAGACTGGATTTAGTTTTTTTCGATCAGGTATGGGTACGTGATTTCAAAACATTTCAGCCGGTTCTAATTTGATTTTTGGATACTGTGAACACGTTTAGCTAAAAAGACTGCCGCTCCAGTTTAGCGTTTATTGTTATTTCTGCAGTTAAAAAGACAAAGTTGACAATCCTGGCCATACTTTCGTTATTTTAATAATTTCTTTATTTTTATTTTATTAATTGATCACTCAGGGTGATCTAATTTAACTATTTGTGACTTGTGTTTTGAATATTTGTTCCCCTGCACTTTAGGCATTTTGCACACATTTGTTCAGCTTCTTGTGACTTGATTCTGACTTATTTAGTTTTGTATTTTTATTTATTATAAATGTATATTGTGTTCTTAATTGTTGATTATTTTTCAGTGCATCGATGTTGCGTTGTAGGCTTACTTAGAGCATGCTCGTACAGGCAATTCAGCCGATTTAATTTGATTTGCATGTGAAATGCAAATCCTATCTGCATTGTGGCCTTTCTGCAGTTATTTATGTTATTTCTTAGTTTTATTTATCCAAACTGTTTTTATACATTTTCTTCTATATCTTTGTGTGATATTCTGTAGATCGCGGCTTTAAAATGTTAAAGCCCCGCCCCCGCCCCCTCCCCAACACCGCACACATGATTCGACTATAGGCAGGACTTGACGAATCTGAATCAACTATGAAAATCCTTAGTCGGGGACACCCCTAGTGCATGCAAGGAAAATTAGGTTACAATAGTGCAAAAAACTGTTCATACATTTTCAAGTTTGTTACATCAAAACTGTGCTGGACTATAAACGGTATATTATTTTGTGTTTGTTATTATTTTGATATTAGTTTTGTTGTCTTTTTTTTTTTTTTAGCCAGATGTTGAATTTTCCAGTTTTGAAGAATCCAGCTCTGATGAAGAAGATTCTCCTTATGCTGATAAAAACACTGAAGAATCCTCCTCTGATGACTTCATCCCGGACTGTAGACAAAATAACGATAGTAGTGATAGTCTATCTGTCAATACATGGAATCCACCATATAAGTCCACACCAGCTGTTTCAGAGTCTTCTATGAGGGCAAAGAGTGTGCCACCACAACGCATTCACTGTTCTTCCACTGAGCAAGAAATGGCTAGTGACCGATCCAGTTCTACTCAAGACCTCATATGTGATGATCATGATACTACCAAAAACAATATTGACATTCAGAGTTTTAAGAATACACTGGCAGGATCTTCTTATGAACGGTCAGAGACTGGCAATGTGCCAGAAAACCCAGAAAAAACTTTTTCCACCCACAAAAACTACTGTTATGTCTGCAAGAAACCTCAGTCTAAAATAGCCCGTCACTTTAAAAAGCATCAAGACAGTGAGAAAGAAATTGCAGCCGCATTCTTGCTCCCTATACACTCCCAGGACAGAAAAAGGTTACTTGAGAAATTACGAAACCGAGGCAATTATGAACATAATCAAGAGGTTATGGGAAGTAAAAGTGGACCACTGAAAGTTAGAAGGCGGCCAGGAAGATCAGCGAGTGAATTGAGTGCCAAAACATATGTGCACTGTGTATACTGTAAAGGCCTGTTTGTTCGCAAGGAGCTGTGGCGCCATACACACAGATGCCCTTCAAACACGTTTTCAGAGTCTGAAGCAACTGGCAGGGCCAAAGTCTTAGTTTTGGCTGATATCGCAGAGTCAACATTCTCCCACTCAATATCTCCAGAGGTGTGGAAGATTTTGGGAAATATGAAGAATGATGACATTTCATCTGTAGTTCGAAATGATTTCCTCATACTGCAGTTCAGTCAGTGTCTTTACAACAAGCTTGGAAGTGATTCAATAAAATCCGAATACATCAGACAGAAGGTTCGGGAAACGGGCAAACTCTTGCTAAGCTTGAGAACAAAATACTCCATATTTAATTTCGAAGATGCTGTGAAACCGAACAATTTTTGCAAAGTCGTTGAGGCTGTGAAAGATGTCGCTGGTTACGATGAAAAGAGCCAATCGTATAGGACACCAAGCCTTGCGCTGAAGTTAGGACGTTCACTCAAGAAGATCGGTGACATCATTCTCTGCAGGGCCATCGCAGCAGAGGATGATGGTATGACAAAAGCAGCAGAGCGATTCAAACGACTGTGCTCAAGTGAATGGGCAGAACATGTCTCCCATGCTGCTCTTGATACTTTGAGCAAATCAAAGTTCCACAAACCATCAACTATACCGTTCACACATGATGTGCAGCTTCTCCACCAGCACCTAGAGAAAGAATCAGCTGATGCTTTTGAAAGCCTAAAAAGTCACGAGTCTTCACAAACATACGCAGAACTTGCCAAAGTGACACTTGCACAAGTAATAATCTTTAATAGATGTCGTGCAGGAGAGGTTTCAAAAATGTCTCTTGAGTGTTTCAGTAAAAGAGACCAGACTGAGCTCCATGATGATGAAGCAGTCGGTCTCTCTCCTTTTGAGCAAAAAATGTCCAAGAATTTCAGCAGAGTGGAAATAATGGGCAAGAACGGAAGAAAAGTTGCAATTTTGTTAAACCCTGAACTTGTCAGAGCAATAAAACTTCTTCTGGACAAGAGAGATGCATGTGAGGTAGACCGGGACAACCCCTTCCTATTTGGAAGACCAAAGTGCTCACCCACCAGCTTCTTCAGAGGACAGGACTGCATCTGGCTTTTTGCAAGTCAGTGTGGTGCACAGCACCCAGAATACCTCAGGTCTACACAGCTCTGTAAACATGTGGCAACAGTGTCCCAGATTCTTAATCTGAAGGATAACGAGCTTGATCAACTAGCCAACTTTTTGGGCCATGACATTCGGGTCCATAGAGACTATTATCGGTTGACAGATGCAACAGTAGATATTGCAAAAATTTCAAAGCTTCTCTTGGCAATGGAGAATGGAACTCTTGCCAATTTCCAAGGAAAGTCTCTTGATGAAATTGAGATGGAAGGTATGTGCATTATTTCATATAATAATAATAATAATGTTACAGTACAGTAACATGAAAATTCTAAATTACTTGTAGAGAAAAACTTTGGAGCTAATTTGTAGTTTTTAAAATGTTACTCAGAAAAAGATGTTTTTGAGGTGAATGAGATTTTTTTTTTTAAGAGTACCTCATTTCTTTAGATAATGGAGGTTTAGGAATTGTATATGTGTACTAATGCACGTGTCGGGGTGTTTTTCTATAGATGAAATAGATCTGGAATTAGATGAGGAAGAAATAAGCGATGAAGATGACAAAGAGTCCAAGCCTGTCCCTGGAGTAAGAGGTATGTAATGAATTTAACTCCAGTGAGCATCAGTGGTATAGTGTATCAGGTGTTTGATGATCTGAAACAAAGTATTTGGGTTGTCAAGTTTAAGTATGCTTTTCATTTTTCTAAATGTATGAAACAAAAAAGTGATGGTGTTGACCCAGGATGAGACAGAAAGTTCCAACGGCATGTTTTAATGTATATTTACCAGGGCTTAAAAATGGGGAAGAAACCAAAAAGTCCACCAGTTCACTCCAAGCAGAATCAGTATTTTAACATTTCTGTTCGTGCGTTCCTTCTGCAACATTGTCGTTCCAAAACAGCTTGATTAGATACTGGTAAATTCCTAATTTGTTTGTTTGCCTATACTTTATAAGAGAACTTGAATTGAACTTGGTGCTAAGAGCTTATGAATAAACCTTGTAACTTCAGTGCATCCTCAAACGCAGCCACTGCTACTTTATTACAAGAGTTCCTTGAACTAGTAGGGTGTACTAATTGGGTGTACTCACTTTTGTTGCCAGGTATTTTGACAATAATGGCTGTATGTTGAGTTATTGATAACTGATAACTGCAGAGGTATTTAAACATTTGGGTATATAACAGTTATTCCAAGTACATAAAAGTATATATTTGTTCGTTTGTTTTGCAGACGCCAAATTGAGGAAAATTGTGAGAAGGCAATGGAGCCCAAAAGAAGTGAATGCTGTCATGAAACATTTCAAAGTCCATATTTCAAAGGGACACCTCGCAACATCGGCCGAGTGTGCGCGCTGCAAGACTGCAGAGGACACTGTTCTGAGAGAAAGAACGGTCCAGAATATCAGGGATTTCGTGAGGAACCGAGGTTTGAGGTTGAAAAATAAATGTTTTTAGAGAGATCAGTGTCGCCTTTTGATGTCTGTGGCTTTTGTTCTGTAAAGTTCTCTAAAGTCTTCTTAAGCAGAAGAGGCTGACTCAGGACTTTACTTGGTGTCGAAGACCTCTTTTTATTTGCTTTTTCTTTTTTGTTAAAACAATGTTTTTATAGAAATTTTGCAGGTTTAGTGGCAGCAAAAAAGATGCACAATCATTTGTGAATTCACTCTTCGATGTAGGTGAGCTGATTTGGTTTAGTATGGTTAACTCTAATACAGGTACTCCTATGGAGTAAATATAGAGCGATGTCCAGTTCAACCCAGATTGTCCTCATAATTAAGCATAAGCCGGGTGCACACTGCGATTTATTATAGTTCTTTACGATTATTGCTTGTCAGACTGTAGGAACATGATCATCGCTGTAAGCCATGTCACACGGTAAGATCTCAGTTGTCATTAATGTCAGACTGTACGACAGTCAAGACACGTTAAAAGCGGACACACACAAGAACTTGTCCGGAGTTTTACATCCTCAATCAATGACACGTACATTCACAGTGAGCTGCATTACACGCGGGATTGAAATGGTGGCTACGAAGAAATCTCTAACGTTAATTTTGGTCATGGCTTGTCTTGAAAAAACAAAGGCAATTTGATGGCCGTCGTAGGAGAAGACACACTGCAGGACTGAGAGTCAAATCTTCCAGAATTTCGTTGGAGGCAAAATTTGATCAAAGGGATCAGAGGATTCTTTTAGGATTTGCAAAATTCGTCGGCCAAACCGCGGCCAAAATCGCACAGTGTCCACCCGGCTTTAGTTTGTGTGTGTGTGTGTGTGTGCAGGGACGTGCACAGGGGGGTTGCTCAGGTTGCCCGGGCAACTGCCCATATGCCCTTCTCACTCAAGTTGCCCTTCAAGTTGCCCTTCCGAGAAAAAAATTAAATCGTACAATGGATGCAGAATTTCACGTAGGCCTAGATTTAAAAAAAAATCGCAAAGCCTCATTCACTTACATTCGGGCACCGAAAGTGAAAGTCAGTATGAAGGGCAAACGCTGCACGCGACCATAGACTGCACGCGACCGGCGTAGGGCCACGCAAATTAAGGCCACGCCTCCATCTCGTGTCATAGTCATAGCGCGCCGTCAAATGTGTAGCTACAACATCCACGACAAAATGAAGCGAAACTATCCTTCTGGTCACGAAAAGAGGAAGAAGAAAAAAACCATGAGAGTGAATTGCGGGAACAACAATCAGGTAAACGTGTGTTCTCTCCTCTCTAAGTTTGATGTCAGCAAAGTTTGATGTCTTTCGGTCTTGCTAACCTAGCTGGGCAGGCAGTGCATCTCTTGCATCACTTTGTGGCTGACAAAAGTGAGAGTAAAATACGAGTATTTATTACGTTTGATTTTGATAAACGACAAAGTGCAACTGTGTTTGTTTACTGCAGCTCGGAAAACATAACCGCGTCGCGTGTGTTATCGTGCGTTCATATGCGCGTTGCCGAAATTAAACTCGCATTTTTCAAGCAGAAATATGTGGAGACCAGACATACTGTACAATACATGCACGTGAATGATGCCTCAATCCGAGGGGCGGGATAAACGGTTGTCTTTCAATATCCCTCAGCACGCAATAGGATAGCGCTACAACCAACCAGAGCAACGAACGGCTGTGGCTGAGAGTCCCACCAGTGAACCAGCTAGTTGGTATATTATTAAACTTTTGCCGTATCCGGTCGTCAAAACTCTGAACACATCTTCCTTTTTTAGGAATGACTTAAGTGACGTTCTCTTAACTCCAAGTCCTCCAGAGTCGCGGCCAAAGCCGATTCGAAAGACCGCTGTTCGCCAGCAGCATCTTCTTTGTTTTCAAGCAGAGGGAAATCGCCTATGGAAATCACGCGGAACCGTCACAACTCTGCCGTCATATGTTAAGCCCGCCCACCAACTCTACACGATCTGATTGGCCAGACCAGTTTTTGGTTTTTCCAGCTCAAAAGTCTATGGAGAGTTGCTAGACCACACTTTGCTGCAAAATAATTTTTGCTGCCACTAGGGTGCGTCTAGATTTCTAGGCTAGGTGAGATATGGTCTTTGCACTAATTACATTACATTATAATGTATCATCTGCAGCAAAAAGAAAAAATATTTTCATGTTTAAGTGTTACAAATACACAGCAATTTAGAGCACTATAAAGATAAAAGCAAGACTATACCACCTCAAGATATATATCCATTAGTTCTATTCCAATAGTTATATATACTGTATATCCAATGTTTCCTGCACATATTAATGTGTCCTGTAGGATTTCATCATTCCTACAGGATACCTGCAAATATCCTGCAGAAACAAATGACAATCCTGCAGGATTCCTGTAGGTTAGTTTTGTAAGGGCACACACTCTAAACAGTTGGGAAACTTCCACACTCTCCAACATCCTGCCTGATATCAACCCACTCATTGCCTTTTGGTTGGGAGACAAAAATCTCCTTTCAAAGCAGTCCAGATGGCTTGGCAGACCTCACTCACAATCACTGATTCTGTGCTCGATCCCAATTCATGACTGGAGGCAACGCATTTTTGGCGACTACCAGACGCAAGTATGCGGAGTGTGACGGCCAGTATCTGACTGTATATTGACTGAGTGTTTTTCTGCTTTTGGGGTAGGTAGCAAATTGAAAGTCCTGATTGAAAAAACAAACAAAAACAATGTCCTCAAAAAGAGGAAAAATTATAAATCCGTTAGACCCCCCCCCCCCCAAAAAATATGTTATCCTCCAGCTGTAAAAAGTCCCTGTGTTCTGGACGGTCAGTCGCCATCATGCAGGGTAGTTTAAAGTGGCGGGTCGCTTCAGTCCTGGGGGAAACACATTGTCTAATGTTGCAGGTGTATTATTGACATGACAGACTTTATGACAGTTGATGAGCTAAAGGCCTTCATTGCACTCATCTACATTCGTGGTGCGCAAAGTGGAAAAGACTTCCGACCAAAAGCTTGCCAAGTCCATGCCTTTTCCACCTGGGGCTATGCTTTTTTCAAGGAGACCATGTCCCGAAACAGATTCCAGGAAATCATGCGATTCCTGCGTTTCGATAAAAAGGAGACCAGACGGACATGGCTGCAAGAGAACAAATTTCATCCAGTATATAGAAAGCAAACCTGATGAATTCGGTATAAAGTTATGGCTCGCTGCTGATGTCCATACCTGTGTTTTATAATATCCTTGACCTGGCTGCGATAAATGCTTCCATACTGTTCAAGAAATGCACAAATGAGAGAATGTCACCGAGGAACTTCATAATGCCACTCGCACATGAACTTCTCTCCGGCCACATGAGCCACACCGCTGATGGTGCAAGAGCCAAGACCCAGGAGGAGAGGAGAAGGCAGTGCCAACGGCGGAGAGACGGCAAGAAAAACTCAACCAAAGACGCTTGTGACAAATGTGTGCACATGGAAGGAAGACATTACCTGTGTTGAGTCGAGGAATCGATCCACAGGCTTCAGTGAATGATGTGCGGTGTTTGCCCCCAACACAACCAGATGCCTTGTTCACGTGAGCCCACTTAGAGGAGAATGCTTTCATTATAATTTTACAGCATGATATTTTTGCTCACTATAAAACATAGTGCCTTCTAAATCAGTTCGTTTTCCCACAGTTTAGCGAATTTTCTTTCTTTATTCTATATTTTACCTGTTTTGGCCATTTTGTTTTAGGCCTAGACTATGTGTTTCATATATGTCCATAAAGATTTTTACTATGCATTGAAATTCACATTAGGGATGTTTTTATTAGTTATTATATCCTAAGATTTTTTTTTTGTTTCACAAAGAAACGAACAGAATATTTATCTAATTTGAATTTGTATCTGTAACTAGTTCTGTTCTGTGGTTGTTGATGAACTAATACATTTTCACATTCATTATAATTTCAATTTCGTGTCCTGATGTTTATTATTACCTATTTTAACATAACAGATCCATTTATTGATGGTTTTTGTTTCCGATTCATGTGATTCAAACATTTCCAGTAACTCCAGAGTGTTGTAAAGTCCAAAAGTCAAGATGTCTTGAAAAAAGATAGATGTAATGTCTCAAACGAAAGATTCTGCTTCAATACACATTTGTTGGCATTTTGACATTCAAAAACAACCATTTCACTGCGGTGAAAAACTCTTACTCAGTTTTATCTTTTTGCCATTCACATGACTTGGAAGTGTCCCAATCAACCTGAATTCACCATTACCAAAAATATCATATTATGTGTAGGCCTATCTGTGTTCGCTTGGCGCTCGGTGCTCCATTGAATCCATATTTTTCAGTTTTATTCAAATTGAGGATTTTGTTTGAGGATTTTAAAAGTTTTTAGGGTGATGACGTCATAAAATATGATGACAGAAATCCAAAAGCTTCAAATGTAAACATGACGTGATAGAAATGACATTCGGTCCAGTCTAGTATGAACGGTCAGGATGACTATGGCCATTTTAGCAGTTATAGAATTCCGGTAGTTCTAGTGTTAATGGTATATTGCTGGTGTGTTTGGAAGAATTTGTAATGTACTAATAACACAAATAAGGTATACTTTAATATTACTAATCAAGCATATAATTAGTTCCTACACAGGCACATACTTAAAGTGCACTAAGTATACGTCTTGAAATTATGCTTTACTACAATTAAATTACAAATAAAATATGCTTAGTATCAAAGTGATTGTTTCAAAATAGCCAACTTTAAGTAAACTAATCATCAACACACTTGAAGTATACTGATCATTAGTCTGAAAAGTATGCCAACATTAAAATACTTAGCATGGTTATTTTTTACTAGGGCAAACTTGGTACACAGCTTCATCACTGCAGCATTCAGGAACTGAAGAATGTTTTATACAGTTTTTACTGTTTAGAAACATCTGCAAACATTACTGTTTTGCCTTTTAGACAAAATCGTAATGACCAAGAATACAACTTTGAATACCTTGGACATCTATTTTATTATTTGTATGTATTACAAAAAAATGTATTTGCTCTCTTGTGATTTTAGACATCAGCGTGTGAACGGGACTTTTATTTTGGTCTGTAGGTATGACGTCATAAGGTCGCGCCGCGCTCCTGTGTTGTGATCATAGACAGTAAAAGAAGGTTGTGATTCGGCTGCAGAAAGGTTTGTGGTTTGAATCATTTAGAGTGTTTAAATCAGTGTAAAACAGTTCCGGATTTTTTATATAATTTTACAAGAACTGTGAACTGAATTAATTAGTATTGAAAGTACCATTCTAATACTTTATCTAACATTAATGAACGTTATTTTTGTGAGTAAAGTGCTTCCAGACATGAGTAACAGAAAAGGTGCGTCTCATTTCGCTCCCTATATCGTGAATAAAAAAAAACCCGAATTCGGTCACTGGCAAATAGTGTTGAGAGAAACGGGGGTTTTGAAACTCCACCTCATTTGAATCAATTGCTTCCTAAAATGATTCAGTGATTCGTATAGCTCGAACACATGCTGGTCACATTGGTGTAAACACAACAGGAGCACTACATACATGTGAATAATGACACTGACGGTTTAAATGAGATCTACAAATCATTTAATACCAAATATAACTCACAAGTAACTAAGTATGAGGTGTTTGTATAATGTGTGTCCTTTTATTTATTTGTAGTGCTAGTTTGTCTAATCAGGCCATTTGGGTATCACTCTTTTATCAGTTCACTGAACTAGAGCTGAGTTAGACGTACCCAGAGATTTAATTTGAATTTACTTTACTTTCTGTTAATAATTCTCATCTTAATCATCACAATTTGTCCAAACAGAAAAACTCCTGGTGAAGCGACTGAGATCCATGTGACACACTATTATAAAGATGGCGTTTATTAAAGAGGAGAGTGAAGAAATAAGGATTGAAGAAACATTCAGCATAAAACAAGAAGAAACTGAGGAACAAACAGGTTGGTTTCATTCTCAAAGCTGAACTCTGTCATTTGATGCTTATTAAAACGTCAACCTCTATAGAAATGAATGACGTGTCACATTGAATTATTAAATTAAAAATAGTATAAGAATATGATACGATTTTTCCATCGTTATGAACGAAAAACGGCAGGAAGGCTGAATGAAAATGTCTAAATTTTGTTTAATATTGTATTCTCTTATAAGAGTCATGGGTTAAATAAGGGTACTTAACCCTTATTTAACTAACCCAGACATAGCTTACCACAGACTTAACCCAGATAAAGTGCATGTTTGAGCTGTTTTACCTGAAAGCAACTTGCACTGGCATATCTATGAAATTGTTTTGTCTCAAGCTGCGCACCAGTAATCTCAAATGCTACTCAAACGTCCTAATTTAACTCCGACTACAGGACTTTCAGGTCGATTTATGCCCAAATTTACCCCTCCCGACATTAGGAGAGAAAAGAAGCTTTGAACGCAGCGCGTGAGTGTAGAAAGTTGCTAGCGCACTACTGGAAACAGATTAAAATTGCTGGTTAAAATCTTACCTCCAGTTCTCGCTTAAGAACAGACAATGCATGCTGACCCGTCTCCCCAACCATTTTGATATAAATAACCATACATAAGTATTGATACAAGTTGCCACGGCACAGCATACATTTTGTTTACATCCGCTTCCCCGTAAGATCACGTGAGGTGCTAAATCTGGCATCATAATCTAAAGAATATCTTGTAGTGTGTGATCCGCCATGATTTTCAAATCTTGTAGTTTGTGGATGGTTAAGATTTGAAAATAAAACTGTGAAGAATCTCCTTATGTGCGTGATGCAACCAGATCTCACAATCGGTTAAGATTTAAAACTGTAGTCTGGGCCCCGAAATAAAGCCGAATCCTGGCTTAATCTAAGCCCTGTCTGAGAAACCAAGCCATTATTATTATAATCATTTAAAAAAATTATTAGGGGGGTAACGGTTCACAGAATTCACGGTTCGATTCGATACGATACAGCAAAAAGAAAGAAATGCCGGAGAAATTCCCTTGATTTTTTTTTTTTGTAGATTTTTTTTATTTAACATCATAAAGTATTACCTTTTTTTACTTTGAACCTTGATGGAGCTATACTTGCCTCTTCTTAGCAGCATATATGCTAAAACAAAAACAGCTCCTTATTTAAACCTAAGGTTTATTTTATTTTAAGTTTGCAAGGCTCCAGATTTACATTTGAGGGCGCAATTTTATTTATAATGTCGAAATAATAATTCAAAAGCAAAACGATTTAAAAAATAAATATTTGTCAGTGGAGATGGCGGCCACCTACTGGTTACAATAGTAATTTATTGTAAAAAAAAATTTTTAAATAAGTGTGAGTTTTCCTACATCTTGAAACTTTTAGTTTTATAAATGGGGGTAATGTTTGAAGTTATTATTTCTGTGGCGAATTCAAATGCTTTCTCTCTGAGCGCTGTGTAATAACAGTGTCGCTTGGTCAACATCGGCTCGTGCTGCACTGATATTGATGGTCCAAACTCATAAACGGTCCGTGAAGTAGAGATGCGCGGATGAGCTGTTATTTCATCCGCAACCGCATCACAAAACTCATCATCCGTCCGTACCAACGTTTTTGACCAATTTTCAAAACCGCACCCGCCCGCCATCCGCTGATTGCGCGATACAAGGCGCTGCTGATGACAGCCGTTAGACTAGAAAGCTCTCAGAATATCAGCAGTGAACTCGTCTCCGATCGGCGCGCAGGGACAAAAATAAATAAATAGCCTAAATTAAACGCACTTCGGTAAACCTGACCTTATCTGATAGGCTACTGTACAATATGTTCATTGTAGCCTAATAGAAAACGCATTTTGGCACATAATTTCAACATGCTGTATGGGGCGCCAACAATGTTACGTGACAGTTCTCCATTACGGATGCGAACACTCAGAAAGCGGCACAGAGGCCTTAAAAAAGCACAATGCCTTTCTTTAAAGCGAATTTCGTTTTGTATTAATTGTATCTTCTTTTTAATCCATGTTTCATTAACCAATTTCCTGGATTTAATAAATAGGCTAAAAAAGTAAATAGTCTATCTTGATTGTGTAGGCTATGTTTCATTATAAAATATTAGGCTGTGTATACCGACATGGATCAATTATTAATATTAGATTTCATCTGTCTTTTGTAGGCATAGCTGATGGCGCACCAACGAAAAAGCCTATAGTGACTTCGGCGTTTCTTTAATATCGAGGCTCACAGGCTATTATATGATTGTTAGGCCTGTTGATGGTATAAAATGAATTGCACTGTGCCTGAAAAAGACGGGCTCTCCGCTCTCTTCCCGTGCATTCAAAATTAACGGGAGTCTTCAGAACAGGCTCTCCAGCGTCAACAGCACCGAACTTAGCTCCAATGTCAATCAACGTCTTGGCCACTTGGTGGAATCCTTTACCAGAAGCAATATCGAACGGGCGCATATCAAGAGAGCGCACAACTCATTCCAGGCAACACTTTTCTGACCTTCTATTTCCTTTTGTTTTTAATTCTCCTTTTTTGAGTTTGTCACGTACCTCCTTCGCCGGCGTCGCCATCTCTGATAACAACAAGCAGTCTCTGCATAGACTCGAGCTGATGAAAATTTGACTATTTCAAAGTGTGCTCGATTTTTTTTTTTTGGATGTAGGTATAGTCAGATAACAATATTTAACAATGTCTATTTTTCATTTGATTGGTTCAACCGCCCGCCACTCGCCCGAATTTAATTAAAATATTTTTTTTCGTCCCGTCATCCGCCCGATCCGCGGTTTATCCGCGGAGTCTGCGGCTGTAACCGCCAACCGCGCATCTCTACCGTGAAGCACAAATGAAAGGCGCAGTTTCGTTCCGCTTTCATTACGTTTGCCACTTGATGTTGGGCAACGTTGTGGTGGTGTTTGCGGAAAATGGTTCAACGAATCGCTCGGTTCTTAATGTGTACCGAACCGAAAGCCTCGTACTGAACGATTTAATACGAATACGTGTATCGTTACACCCCTAAAAATTATCTTTGCTGTTGAGTGTCCTGCTCCTTTTCTCTCTGTTGGTCCAGTAGCTCTTTAGACTTCACTCGCATATACGTAGAGCCACTGTCTTAATATTTCGAGTTTTCAATCCAGCAAGCAAAAGGAGTTCCACAGATGTGCATCTCAAACCAGAGTACCACTGTTTCTATTGTCAAATAAATCCTGGTTTTATTGTAGTGGATGGAGATCAAAAACATCTGCACTTGGGTTGTTGGGTTCAGCAAAGATCATGCAACCCCTGTAATTTTCTTCATGTGGGTCTTTCATGGTAAACAATTCTCTTGTTAGAAGTTGGTTTCCTTCTCTACCTCATCTTGCCAGATACAGTTGTACATTGAACCATACTTACCGAACGAGGCCAATTACTGTTTTTGGCGATAGCACGTCCACTTTTCTTATTAGGTCCATGTCTGGAGGTGCGATCTAGGAATGATGCTGGCTAGTGTGTTTCCAGTTTTGATGACATATTTGACAATATTGCTGGAGTTAAAGGTAGCGCTCCTCAGGATGTCAAACTTACTTTAAAATATCTGGTGAAACTAGCACTCATGGCCATATTATTGGCAATCAGATAAGTCTGGCCAACGCTATCTCACGACCAATTGGTACGAGTGATTAAAAGGTGGCTAATTCATACAAATTCATACGACCTCACTCGTACGATTTGTCTAAACCCACGTGATGGGTAGGCTTAGGGGCGGGGTCAGGGGTAGGTCATTCGTACGAATTCATACGAATTTGGTAACTCGTAAAATATGTACGAATTAGCAAAAGTCGTACGAATTTGTACGAGTGAGGTCGTAAAATTCGTACGAATTGCCGTGAGATCGGGTTGGTCTGGCCGTTTGCATTCTGAAATACAAAGTTCTGTAATGAAACACTAGATGGCGGAGTTGTCATGACAGAACTGCTGTATTAAATGTCCGTTGCATCTATTGAGATCTTCTGCTTCAAACGTGTCGTTATCAGTCTGCATCTCTTTTCTCGATTATCCAATCTTTGAGAAGTGTCATTGCCCATAATGTAGATTTCTGTGTTAGTTTCATAGCAGTCGTCCAGTGTTTTAATTTCAGTCTCATTCAGCTCTTTGTGTCTCGTAGTTGTAGAGTTGAGTTTAAACTTTTGACTTTTGTTGACTTTTTAAAGGGATAGTTTACCCAAAAATGAAAAATGTCATCATTTACTCACCCTCATGTCGTTCCAAACTCATAAGCCTTTCGTTCATCTTGGGAACACAAATGAAGATCTTTTTGATGAAATCTGAGAGATTTCTGTCCCTCCATTGACAGCAACGCAACTCCAACTCCTACAAGAAATATAGGATCTAGCTTTTCATCGTGTCTGTTGCTTTGTGCCAATTAAACTGTGGTTAACTGGTATTTGTCTATTTCTGCCTTAGACCTGAGGCTGCTGAAAGAGGAGTGTCAAGAACTGAATGATTTGGAAGAAAAATTTCACCCGGGAGAGAGCCTTTACACCTGCCAACAGTGTGGAAAAAGTTTCACTCAAAAGGCAAATCTAAACAGGCACATGAGAATTCACACCAGAAAGAAGACTCACAGTTGCCCTCAGTGTGAAAAGAGTTTTACACAGAACAAATACCTTAATGCCCACATGAGAACTCACACTGGAGAGAAGCCTTTCACGTGTCCTCAGTGTGAGAAGAGTTTCTCACTAAAAGGAAATCTTAAGACTCACATGAGAATACACAATGGAGAGAAACCTTTCAAATGCCCTCATTGTGTAAAGAGTTTTACACACAAAAAAAACCTTAATACCCACATGAGACATCACACTGGAGTGAGTCCCTACTTGTGCGATCTCTGTGGCAAGAGCTTCTCACGAAAAGAAAGTTTTAAGACTCACATGACTATTCACACCGGAGAGAAGCCGTTCATATGTCAGTGTGGAAAGAGCTTCAGATGTAAAGAAAACCTTAATCAGCACTCAAGTATTCACTCAAGAGAGAAATGCTGTGTATGTCATCAGTGTGGAAAGAGTTTCACAGACAGGAAACGCCTTAGGAGGCATGTAAAAACTCACATCAGAGGGAAGCCTTTCATGTGCCCTCACTGTGGAAAGTGTTTCGCAAAGAAAGCAAACCGTGAGGATCATGTGAGAATTCACACCGGAGAGAAGCCTTTCACCTGCTCTCACTGTGGAAAGAGTTTCACAGTTAAAGGAAACCTTAACATTCACATGAGAGTTCACACTCGAGAGAAGCCTTACAAGTGTCTTCAGTGTGAGAAGAGTTTCACATATCACACAATCCTGAAACGTCATTTGCAAACTCATTCTGGAAAGAAAATGCAGTGTTCCTTGGTGTGACGAGGTTTTAGAAAGACTAGCAATTTCACAAATCACCTGTGCATTCACTCTGGAGGAAGACAATTCGATTGTGATCAGTGTAATAAAAACTTTGCCATTCACACTTGCTCCGGTTTCACACTGCACGCGTTAGCAGAGCGTCAGCAGTGTGTGTGTATGGAGAGCGGGAGCAGCACACGCCCGTTTTGCTTTCACACTGCACGCGTTAGCAGAGCGGAGGCAGCGCGTCAGCAGTGTGTGTATGGAGAGCGGGAGCAGCACACACCCGTTTTGCTTTCACACTGGCAGCGTTTGTCGCGCGCAGATGAACCACGGCTTGTGTACAGGCTTTTGAGGTTGTGGTCAGTACTTTGACATATTTTGTATATTTTTTTGAATAAATAAATATTGATAGGTTATTGATACCTGAATTATATTTATTATTATATATCATCTGCATATTTTTACACATTAGCACTCATCTCCATGAAAAGCATTCTGCAAAAGAGAAAAACTTTACGAAATCCTTTAGATTGTTGAAATATCTGATACACGTCTAATTTACAAACATTACCCATCATAAACATCTTAAAGATAATTCATAAATGTCTAACAAACAGCAAAGTTCTTAATAGAGACGTATTGTTAATGAGAAAATTCTGGGAAAAAAAGTAAAAAATTCAACAATCATGCACATCATAGATGTCTATACTGTATGTGTGCCATATTTATCTGTCAAAAAGTTTGTTTTTGATCTTTTTTATTTTTAATTGCTGAAGGTCATTTGATTGACTGTTTAAAACACAATAGATATCATCAATGCGCTTTTTGGGTAATTTGGCCATGATCAATGCATTGTCACTTTAATTCAGCGTGAGCGGCGCAGCAAAAATAGACTCGGCGTCGAAACGATACGCGCTGCTAACGCGTGCAGTGTCAATCCGGCGTTACAGCTACATATGCAAATCTGAGATCCTGTTTGTACTATTTGTTAAAGAGTAGGGCAACAGAAAATGCATATCTGTGTCAAATTGACCGCAGCTGAATGTGGGCCATATCTGGTTGTCTGCCTTCATGACCACTTATGTTATTTGCATCCTTCACCTCTTTATACTTTGACTTTAGCCTTTTTTTTTTTTTTTTATGTGCATGTGTAATCCTCTGGCCCCACCTGACCGTCATCTTTGCTGTAGTTTCAAATATTGAGCGTTTGCGGTAGACGTCCTATAATTTCAACTATGTAGAGGCATCACTCAATTCTAGGGGTATAACAATATTTCGTGTCACAATATATCGCAATACAAAAATGCAACAATATCTATCGTGGATGGTTCACTCAAAATAAAAATAACTGAGAAAAAATTCAAGTTTTCAGAGTTTTAGTGTCAGTACTACATTAAACTACTATATTTAATGTTGAATATAATGTATAATAATGCTATGGGGGAATATTTGTGGGTCCTGATAATGTCAAATGTCTGATGTTACCAGTAAAAAGTGGCCTACGTGATATATTAAATATATCTAATCAGTGTCAGAGTGCAAGCATATTCGTCTAAATAATTCTGTATTTTCAGCTTGAGAATCATGATTATTTTTATTCTGGTGTCCCCATTGTCCTGTGCATTGGGTTACCAGCACCAAGTCCCAGCCTATTCATTTACACCCACAATGTCATATAAAATGTAGCATTTTTTTGTTAATCTTTTATCATATGTCTTGGAGTATCGCAATAATATCGTATCGTGATATGTATCGAATCGTAACATGAAGGTATCGTTACACCCCTACTCTATTCCATATATTGATGCCTCTGAATCAAAATATAGTTGAACTTGCCATGAAATCCCACAATGTAAACACTAATAAAGTGTTTCTTGACCCTGCTCCTTTCTCCCTACACAAACACCTGATTCAGTTCATAAGAAACTACCAGGACCTGTCAGACAGAGGAGACTTTCAAAATGTGCAGTGTTGGGCTTCCTCCAGGACCAGGGTTAACAAATGAACATTGCATTCATCGTTTCTGCTCATTATATGTTTCTAGCTTATTTAGTCAAGTCATTTTTAATTTATTGTTGTAATATCTAAATTTCCTGACTTTCATTTTTTTATTTTAAAATAGTGGTCAAGATTAAGAATTTTTTTTTTTTATCAGCACAGTTGATTCTTTGTTGATACTTTCTGTTTCCTTTCAAATCAATTTGGTGCAATAAACAATCCAAAGCAGTTTGTCTTGTGGCCTTTCCTTGCTAAATATACAGTAGAGCAGTGGTTCTCAACTGGTAAAAATGGTTCACACACACTTTACCTTAGATACACATAAATTGTAAGTATATCACGAACACTGATAAATAAACAGTATAAGTTAAGGCTATTGAATAGCAGTCCCAAACTATTTTTTGCTATTACAATTAAGTTAGTGAAAAAAAAATTAGTGAGCAGCTGGTATGAATTTCTTTAGTGATAAGTGATATTTTGGGTTATGGTTACAGACACAACAATTACAATGGTCAAAACAAAATACTAACATAAACTCTTCATAAAACATGAACACTGTTCCTGATGAATAGAATAAAGGCGTGTCCTCGCCCCGTAAAATGTTCAACAGGTGAGGGTGGACGGGCGCACAGGACACTGACGAAGGGCTGGAGAAGAAGGTGGCCAAGGTTTAGGCTGGATAGGAAGCCTCCTGGGCAGGAGGTTCTGGCAGTCGAGGGGGCCCAGAGAGGACCACTATGGCCGGGCACATATGGCCCACCTCAAATTTTCTTGTGAGGAGCTATGGTTGTGAAGTGGAGCAGGCTCTGGTCAGGGGCTGGTGTGTAGCCCAGACACACACAGTTTAGAGCCATAATGGACAGTGGACAATGGACAATGCTCTCTGAGTTAGGCTCTGAATTTCACTCACCGGAGAGGACTTGGGAATTTCTCTTGCTGGAGTGGACTCGGGGGTTTCAATCTCTGGGGTGGATTTTGGGATTTCACTCTCTGGAACAGACTCAAGAATGTTACTCACTTGAATGGACTCTGGAATTTCTCTCAATTGAACGGACTCGTCTTCTATGCCAACGGTGAACTGGGATCCACACCTGGTCAGCACCCACTCCACGAAGTCCTCAAAGGTCCCCCGAGGACCATGAACAGGCAGGTGTACCCTTGTTATGCTTATTAAAGGGATAATTCACCCAAAAGTTTAAATTAGCCCATGGTTTACTCACCCTCAAGTCATCCTAGGTGTCCATGACATTCTTCTTTCAGACGGATACAATCTAAAAGAAAAGTCTCAAAGAGTGTTGTGATGTGAGGTCAAGTGGGGAATAAATGTGTGCTTAACCACTTAAGATTTAATATAATAGTTTGATATAATGCAACTCTCGGCCCACGGACCTCAAGCAAGTTGTAAAACGTTTGTGCACTTCTGCTCTAAGGGCTTAATTCCGGGAAAAACTAAATGACGAACACAAAATGCTATTGAGGTACATATTGGCACTGTATATCCAATGTTAGATATTTATAATCCACATATTAGTTTTAATTTGATTTGATATATATAAATATTGCTCTCAGGGAATAAAAGAGGCACATCATGGAAGGTACACACACTGCAACGTGAATACAAATGAGCGTAGACAAATTAACCATCACTAAATCTATCTGTTTTATATAATACAAAGTTTGTGAGGTAGTGTTTGTGGAGAACTGTCAGCAGTGTTTTTCTTGGTCATTTGGCTCTGTTTTCTACAGAAAGTGTTTGTGAAAAGTTCTGTCCAGAGTGTTTGCCACTTTATTATACATCAATAAATTAATAATATATACAATTTCAGATATGTTTATTTCTGATATGGTCATTTATTTTGGGATAGTTTTCAGCTCCTGGCCTAGAAGTTCTACAGAAGACTCTCCCTTAAGAGTCCTGTGAGGTCAATTAAAATATGATTTTTGTTGTTGTTGAGAAAACTGAAGGTTTCTGTTGTTCAGCAGGTGAAAATTTGGTCTGTGTTCACTCATTAGTGGGCGATTTGAATCACCCTACATAGGCAGCAACTTACACAACTGACCCTTGATCAAAAATATATGAAATACTCAATATTAATTTGAATAAACCTTTTTATCAATACTTTTTGGTATCGACTGAATTACATTTATAGCCTACATGGTATTTTAATAGCCTCTTTAATTTATCTTCTACTGATTTTTTTTTGATTTTTTTTACATTTTATCTATTTTCAGATGTTTTTAGACTCAAATGAACTTTACATGTCCACATTTTTAATTTTAGAAAAAAAAAAAAAACATTTTAATACTGTTATATCTGGTATAAATGTTTTCTGCAACCAAACATACAGTTTTGCCTTTTAGACAGAAAATCACTTTCCTTAGTTAATATTTTCAGCACATCATTGGATACCTTTTGTTTATATTTTTACTTCACAAAAATTAAACTTACAATTCCATTGAAATCTATTTTTATTATATATATATATATAATAAAAAAAAATCACAAAAGAGCACAGAAATGTACATAAAACCTATATATATATATATATATATATATATATATATATAGGTTTTATGTACATTTCTGTGCTCTTTTGTGATTTTATTCACAGTAGCATGTGAACAGGACTTTTATTTTGGTCTGGCGGTGTGACGTCATAAGGCGGCGCCGTGCGCCTGCATCCGTTGTATTTGGCTGAGAGAAAGGTTTGTGGTTTTAAGCATTTAAGTTGTTTAAATCAAGGCAAACGGGTTAATCAAGTTTATAGTTTTTTTAAAGTTTTTTTTTTTTTTTTTTACAAGTGATTCAAACTGTGTATTTATTTAATGCAATTTTATAATGTTTATTTCTGTCAGTAAAGCGCATCCACACATGAGTGACAGAAAAGGTGCGTCTCGTTTCTCTCCCTATGTCGTGAATCAGTTTATCATAAACACGAATTCGGCACTGACAAGTGATGGCTTTTCCGAGTCAGTTAAACCCAGGGGCGTTGCTAGGGTCTTGATACATTGGGGGCTTAGCCCAGACCCCACCACCCACCCACCCCCGCTGGTAACTACTACTTCTACTCAGAGGCACATAATAATAA